AAGGATGGAAGATGGGATTAACAATGTCGATACAGGAATTGATTGAATAGGTTTATCATTCGAATACGAATAACTGGCCACCATAGGTAGTACTGCGAACAACAACATATATGCATCTACCATGCCAGTCGCCACGATTAACTTTAAGTGGCAGCTGAAGAAAAGCAGTCAGAACTTAGTTTAATTTTGAATAGTCTGTACACTAGAATCCTGCCGATATCCCCCGGGCAGTTATTGGGTTAGTATACGTCGTGTTCTGTGTACGCCCCACTATGATATTACGAACGCATTCTACATCACATATTCAATAAGTGGCATTGAACTCTGGATCACTAGAATCATACAATTTTGGACTGAATATTGAATATCACTATAAAAAAAATGCAGAAAGACAGAAACTCAATATACTACTAGTCCGTATTATATAATACAGCGTACAGACGGGGGGGGGGGGAGGGGGTGCGATCGTTGTTCGCCCATTCTGCAGCACAGCATGTGGCGAGAACACGCGGTTCTGTAAAAGCTCGACTACCGGGATGCAGCATCCAGTGTGCTTTTTTTTTCGGGAAGAAGAGGTTCGGTTCAACCTGGCTATCCGCCTCGGTTGTGCTGCCCATCTACATACACACTTAGATGCGTCGGCGACGGCATACCAAAGCGACACAGGTATGCAACAACATCGATGTCTCATTCAGACAGACGGCCGAGTAGATGTAACGTGTTCAAAGCTGGACGGCGGCTTCCCTTCAACGAACGCGGGGGTCACTACTCGCGCGGTTTATCGTATCGTTGTTTGGAAATTGGTGCTGTGAATCCTTCCGTGTGGTGAATATTTTCCATGATCTTCGTGCCATGCCTCTTTGTGTAAGACACTATTATAACTTGTTGGGTTTTCGAAAGAAACAAAACAGAAACAAAACATGTACTTGGATACAACGCGTGTGTACCTTTCGCCGTGTACCAGTTAAGATCCACTACAAATCGACTCCGCCCCGTTGCTGCTGCTACTGCCCTTCATGATGGATGCTCTACAACATGGCTGAGACACGCTACAAATGGTCTCGACGACACTCTTCGACACGCACATTTCGAAGAAAAACAGGGAAGTTCTATCTACATTGACTGCAACTCTACTTGCTGTGCTGACCGCCGCCTGCTCATTTGCCTCGCTGATACACTACACACAAGGAGGACAAAACTCCATTGCTGCAAATCCATATCACTCCGAACCTGCTATCCTATGTATCTCCCTCCCCTTCAACGCGTTTCACCTACACTCATCACACGCGATGAACAACATATAACATTGTAAATTTCAAAATGAGCGAGAAACAGCTGCTAAATACTCAAATCTACAGTACAACTCCAACTTTTGAAATAAAAAAAAAAACATTTTAATGGGTGTACAACAGTCCTACTGCTGTACATACCTGTAGTCTAGATTCATATCGTCTCAAAACAGCAGTACGAAGTACTTTCTATAAACAGCAAGTTGTCAAACGACACTGCGCCATGTTCCCTGTGAAGGCCACATTCTATAACACATGACATAACGGAGAGCTTCTCCCCGATAGTTCTGTCGTCGACCCAGTACAAAACTACAGGGGATGTGTTAAGAATGTATCCCCCTATACAGATGCTTCTGTTCTTAGCACCAACTGGCATCACTGATAACTCAGTGTAAGGCTTACACAAACTCAAAATAAGCCCAGTCTCCAGTCGGTTTCAATCCACTTACTGAAAAAACTGCACAACTTCCCTTTCGACTGAGTGAGGTTATATCTCGAACGGCTAAATAGTATTTCTGTGAGGTTATGTTTACTTTCTAAAAAAACATGCACGCACGCCCCCAAGGCAGTAGTAGGCCCCCAAGGCACCCCACCACGTGTAACTAAATAGCCCGACGTTGAGCCTGAGCTGAGGGGTGGCAACGGTCTGTCCTCGGACCACCGCCGCCGCAGACGGTTCGAGTTCTTTGGTATGCGGGGGGACCGTTTTCCAGCGATATGATTGCCGCGTTGCTTCGAGAGTACGTTAGCCGGCAGCATTTCTCCATCAGGAAGAAAAACAAGGGACTAAAACAGACTCTGCTGTTCCTCAGGTGACGAACGGCCACATGACTAACTGACGCGTCTATTACATACCCCACCCCGACAAGATTTAAATGTGATTGCGGCTCCGAGTGCGAAGACCGTGCTCATGTCGTAGCGGAATGTCGGTTGTACAAGAAGGAGAGGAAAGTGTACATGACTGAGCTGGGAAAAGTAGAGGGAAGGTACAGGGATGTGTTTGAGGCCTGGAAGAGCCAGGAGAAGACGGTAGCTGTACTGGGGCATTGGAAGTGGGTTGAAGAGGCGGGAAGTGATATCGAAAGGATAGATAGACTAGGCCAGACGTTTTTGAGCCACCTTTGGCAAACTAGGAAGGAACGATTGACCATCGGTGATAGGCCCTGTGGGAACAACGCTCCGTCCTCTCGAGGACACGTGGTCAATGGCCTAACCGCTAAGGCATCCAAAACATAAGAGGACGCACCCCCCGCGCCCCAAGAGTGTCGCTGGGACCCGCTCTTCAACCACTTGTCCCACAAAAACGTGAAAAAAAGCCAGCCTCACCCCCGTGAACTCGATGAACTCGTCCAGCGTCCGCCGATCCCCTAGCCCCCAGGGGTCGCCCTGAACCTCCTTGCTCCCCTCCTTGCTAGACCGCGGCATCTCCATCAGGTTCCACAGGCGCTGGTTGGCCAACCTCTGTCGGTCCTTTCCGCCGTCCCCCTCCACCTTTTTGTTGCTTCTCCAGGAAGTCGTCTGAAGTTGCGCCGCAAAAAAAAGCAAAGAGAGGGGCCGGGGGGAAGGTTTGGAGGTAAGGGCAAGTTCGCCGCCTCTACTTGTGGTCAAGCTGACTGCTGGCTCACGCTGCTAAAGCCCAACATGACCCCATCGGAAATGTTTTCTTCTCGCGAAAAACGTTCAATGCAAAATAATATTCGACTCCGGTACCGGAACAACGAAGAGCCAACAGGTACTTGTACTTAGCACAGCACATGCGATCATGCCAAAAGTGGTTACACTTCGCCATCCTCCCCGATGAACGGTTCGGTGGTTGGGGTGGCATAAAAAAAAGAAGGGGAAGCTCAACGCAGACACCGACGGAGAGCGTGTCCCCCCTCTCGCCCGTGCGCTGAGGCCTTGCCGAGCTTGCTCACGGAACTTGCAAGCCTGAAAGAGCGGAAGCTCAACAAGTGAATACGCACATGATCACACCGGCAAGGATTGCCAACAATGATGGCCACCTACAAGCCTTCCCGGTGCATAACGTACCTGTGCGTGGTGGGGGTGGCTGTAGTCGTGCACGAGGTGACCTCTGCGAGGGGTGTAGACGTCGTACCCGTTGGTCCAGAGCCTGGCCATCTTCGAGAATTCCTCTCCGTCGAAGATTCGGTCCAGGTTAGGGTCGTAAGGGACCCTCCGCTCGGCGTGGCACTTGGAGAAGGAGTACCCCGCCCCCCACGTTGTCGTCAGCTTCGGCTCCGTCATCTCGTGGATGGCCTGTCAGCGGCCGCAGCAGCGGCAGAAGCAGCAACAGCAGCAGCAGCAACCGCAGCAGCAGTAGCAGCAACCGCAGCAGCAACAACAACAGCAGCAGCAGAACAGCAGCAGCAGAAGCAGCAGCAGCAACATCAGCAGCAGCATCAGGGTGCCACTACAGGCAAGGATTATCCATGGCTTGGGGGGCTTCTTTCGAGCGATGCTGCGACAAGGGCGGCGGTGGAGTGTGTAGGTGCGGCAGAGAAGCAAGCAGCTTGGCCAGTATCAAAACCCGGGTTTGCCATGTGCGGTTCGGGAGTTGGATTCAACGAACCAGGCAAAGCCCCTGTGAAGGCGATGGCCCATGGCTCGTCCTTCAATGTGTCTCTCTCCCACACGAGCGGGCACAACATGTTTCCGACAATTGATAACATTCCAGGGGCCTTGTATATTCCTCTTCCTATCTTTTCTCTCGCCGTACAGAGATGGAATAATAACGCAGCGTGCTTAAGTGTTGTACTATTCATTGTACATTACAAAATATCAGAATCACCGTAAACGCTGTCGATTCCCTCCACGAGGAGAAGAGAGGGATGTTTTTCTCCCCCTAAAATAGGATGCCCTATGTATCACTCGTCTCGACACCAAACGGGTGGTACACAACACGCGCACGTGTGTATCACCCCCACCTCCACCCCCCCGCTCTCTCCTTCCTCTTCTTTCTTTGTCTTTTATCTTATGGTACACAACATGCGTACGTGTGTATCACCCCCACCTCCACCCCCCCGCTCTCTCCTTCCTCTTCCTTGTTTGTCTCTTATCGCACCCTTGCTTGCTGGTTCCTGGGCTGCTGAGAGGGCGAGAAATAAACCTCGCACAGGTGGGCGACCTCCCACTTCTTGCTAACGTTGACCCCGAGCACCCTGGAGTCCTGGACGTACGTGCTGAGAACGCCGTACCTTTTCCGCAGCAGCACGACCAGGATCAGCACCGGAGAAAAAAGAAAAGAAAAAGAAAAGTGCGGGCGACAGGAAGGAGGCGTTATTATGGGCGGTGGAATCAGGCACACCGCCGAGTCGGGGATTTCACCCAGCAAGACAAACCGCGACACGATGCGACAGAACATGCAGGGACGCAGGGACGTCACGCGATTGTTAAACGCGATATACAGATAAGTGCTCGCACTCGAGAAGTTACACGAACCTCACGCTCAACACTGTTTGAAGCATAAGCCCTTGAGCAAAATTGTCTGGGCCCGGTTGAGAACCCCTGCACCAATACAGTACCTACTATATCGCGGCCTTTTGTAGCCCACAAGAGGGAATCAAAACTGTTGTTATTTCTTGCGGGCGCTGTAACTGTAGCATGTACAATGCATCCACATGGCGGAGGAGACGGGAACAACTCTTGTGCGGCTAGCGCTTTTCAGCACTACTACGTTTGACGATTTTCCGGTGTCCTTCTACGATCTACGATGACTGGCGGTCTCCGGGTGTGGTTCGCGGCGAGCTGGGTCGGTTTGCCATCCATTTATGTACTTCTTCAGTTTGGGGTAAAATGGTGAAGCTTTCGTGAAGTGAGGCGAGAAAAGCGGTGGGAGTGCCTCCGAATTTACGGTCCTGTTGCGCGATTCAATCCGAACGACAGACAAATGGGACATCAAACTAACACGCGCGATACTGCAGCTGCTGTAGCGGTTCTTTTTCGGGCCTGGCCGTGTAAACGCCACACGTGGCGGAGCAAAGGTTGGACTCAGCCACGTGATGCGACAACCATTTCGAAGACAGACAAACGAAAAACCTTAGGCCCGCAGCAGTTGCATTCCCAAACGACAGCATCAAAGACGACGACATTTTTCCTGCTGTTCGAATACACTAAAAAATGAAAGTTGATTTTATTTATCTCACTCGTTGTTTGTGGCCGCCCACTCTTCCATCATGGCCATGTCCCACCCCTCCACGAAATCCATGTGGCTATCCACCTGCATACAGAACTCCTCGTCCGCCAGGAGGTACGACTGACGACAGCAGCAAGCAGCGGCGGCGAAGGGTTGGTTTGGTTTGCAGGGGAGGATACCGTTGTTGTTATCGTTCACGACGTCGTTGCAGCGGATTTATTTTTTTCGTCACTCGATGAGTTGTGCCGGATTCATTACGTTTGTATCGCTTGCAGCCAGTGCGTGTTCGATGGTGGTCATAACTGTACCGCAAAATTGTTGGGGATTTTTTTATTTTGTCGCGTCGGTTATTCGTGTCGATAGTTGAGGCCCATCCGAGCTTATTACGTTGCGGCATACACATGGCTTACCAACTGCTGCCGCTGTTGTTGCGCGAAGATGGCCAAGCAAGAGGTGGGTCAATCGGTCCATACCTTAAGGTATAACCGATTCAACAGTAACAAGATTTCCGGAGTGACCTGCCCCCAGACACACATTTTCCGAAAACATCGGGCCAAGTGTATCGAAGGGATCGCTACTGCAAACAATACAATAGTACGATACATAGCCTAGATGCTGAACATTCCCAAAACTCGAAGGCTTACGGGGCCCTGCAAGGGGCACTGTGGACGAGCACAAGCACAAGTCAACCAAATCGCGAAGGTCAACGAAGACGTTGGCCACCCGAAATCACGTGTGTACAACATGTACTGCTGTAAGTGCCTCCCCCAACACCAAAACACGTGCGCACACCGCCGTGCACTCACCTGCAAGTGTCTTGCCCAGCAGGGGCCCTGCGCCTCTGACGCATGCATCTCAAGGACGCGGATGTTGTCACGGAAAGGGCAGTCCTTTTTTCCATCCTTGGAGGAGGGAGTGTCATTCCCGCCAATCCACACCGCGGCAGCCAGGGCGGAACATGGGGAGCCGGGAGATGCGCAAAGCGTGAGGCACACGCACAAGCCGTCACCCGGCCAAAGGCCGAAGAGATAAGAGCGTCAGTTGCGAGATGTATATTGAGTAAACACGATGGAAGATTGGCAAGAACATCCTCTTCCCGCTTTCCACGTCGAACGCGCGCACACAGATGAGCCCATCCCGCACGTGTCAGCAGCCTCGTACCCCACGAGCCACTTCACGTCAAGAGGAGGAGAGATAGCACAGCCCCAACAGCGATTTTCAAAGTCCGATTGCTCCACAACGAACATTGTGCCAATGTACAAAATAACTGGCCGTTGGCAACATCTGGTCGAAGAATTTCCGGAGACGTATGGGGCTCTTTTCCGCTCCCACTTGGATGTGTAGCAACCGGGCTTTGCAAGTAGTCATAGGGGACTGCAAGAATGAAAGAAACCTGGTGTCGCGTGCGGGTGCAGAAGACATGAAAAGAGGACAAAATCACAAGCCCTGACTTCGCCGCTTCGACCTGACCCGTGCGAAGCACCACCACCAAAGTCGAGCAAAAACCACACATGAGGAGCTCCCCTCTCGACGCCACCCCACCCTTCAAATTTCTCAAGACCGACAGACACCACTACCCAGAACGACCGAAAATCGAGCCGCGGACGGCCTACAAAAAAAGCGCCGATCGCGGCTGTGCCCAGCCCAGGATTTCGTTGTTTCGAGAGCCACGGGGTTACCCTCCGGAGGTGCACTAATAGTGCGTGCAACGAAATTCAGCGGGTGTTGACTACCTACACAGCAGCAGTGAGAACCGCGCAACTTGCACACGCCAACACGTCTATTGACACGCACGCCATCTACACATCCATCCACCACCCTGAACACCTTGCAAAGTGTCAAGACGTCTACAACCTTTGTCTAATATGTAGTGCGGACTCTCTGGGCCTCCTTCACACGCGTATAGCGAGGATGCCAAGTTGGACGGCTCTTCTCCGCACCATGTGACGTATACACTTTTTAGAAAGTAAACATAACCTCACAGAAAGACTACCCGTTCGAGATATAACCTCAGTCGAAAGGGATGTGTTGAAGACTTTTCAGTAAGTGGATTGAAACCGACTGGAAACTGGGCCTTTTCCTGGGTATCTTCCGAAAATATATAGAAGTATGTTTGAATCACACTCTGGACAACAGGTTGTATACACCGACGAATCAAGGTTGGATGCGTTTTTTTGTTTTTTTCTTTTCAGTGTTGGGGGACGCAAGAGCATATATTTTCTTTGGGTAGAAAATCACGGGGGCTAGACGTGATTCGAACCCGCTTCGGTACGCGGCATAATAAGTCGTCGCGCAAACATGACACCAGATAACTCTTACTTCCATACGGTATTCAAGAGAGAGCGAGCGAGAGGGAGACAGAGACAGAAACGAAGAGAGAGCAGCAGTGTAAAGCGAGACCGCCTTCGGTTGCAGTGCAGTTGTAACCTTTCTTTCTGCTTTTATATTTTCTGTCCGTCGAACGCGCATACATGTCTAGTTTCGTTAATCTGTTTTTCCGTCTCTCTGCCTGCAGGAGAGCCAACATAATTAATACCTGGAGATCTGGAGAGTCAACGCAATAAGCAATCTCGAGCATCCCTTTCCAACGTTATGAGACCTGAGCGGTAGGGGTACACAGAGTCGATCATCCCTTTGCAACGTATGAGACCTGAGCGGTAGGGGTACACAGAGACACAAACCTGTTGAATACAGAAAAACCTACACAGCAGCCGACGGCGTGAGCAATGGGGGGGGGGGGGTACACAGAGGAGTACAGAAACAGCCGTTCAGCTGTCGAACCGTGGACCTACGCACAGAGCCGGATTTAATTTTAATTGATGTATACATTTTCAATCAATAAGCAATACACACACACGCCATCCATCCATCCATCCATCCATCCATCCACCACGCCCGGAAAGGTTGCACATGTGCATAGCATTCCCACCGGAGAAGAAGCAAAAAGCCATCGCGCAACAAACAAGAACGCACACCTTTTCGCCCATGAGCCTGCAGTAGGTCGCCAGGCATCCCTCGTCGTCCTCCAGGTTCTGCTGCACCACTCCGGCCGTCAGGCGCTCCGGGTAGCTGGCCTTGCTGAAGAGGTTGAACAGGGTCTCGCCGCACTGCGGGTCTCGGAAGGACGCTATTCCCGTCCACAGGGTGGTGTCGGTGTAGCTCCATGAATCCGTTTCGGGGGGATACTAACGTTTGTTGTTGTTTTGCGTCGACCAGGGGAGGGGGGGACGAAGCGAGAGTGGGACGTCGTAATGTCTGAAAGTGCACTGCTGTTTGACTGCTGTGAGAGGAGATACTTCTGTTGCAGAAGTTAAGTTTCGGTACATCCAATTGGTGGCGGCCGAGTTCCACATCAGTTTGCCCCGTACACGGGGCAGGATACAAACGACACAACTGTTCAATCCGGTACACAAGGGAACTAAACATTGGTCTTGCACAAGGTCTTTCAGCGGCGACAGCGGCGCATTCCTCTTGAGGTGTACGAGTACAAAGCGAGACCAGTGACCAGTGAAAACGATTTGCGGAGGGATATGGAGGATTTGAAAAAAAGGGCTCGTGAGTATGCATACATTTAGGGTCCAGCATGGTGATGGATGCCTTTGATCCATCGGTATCGTATCAGCATGTAAACAGCAGCAACTCTGGGGGAACTGGTCCAGGGAACAGGATTCGGTGCAGCTACCGGCTCAGACGCCAGCCTGTAGGGAGGAGAGTGTGGAACCACTGACAGCCGACAGCGGTATGCATAATGAGCGCGAGCGTGCGCCCTCCTTCGTTAGTCTACAATTAGTCCACAACATCAACAAATATGATTTGTAGAGAAACACCTTCCAAAGGCAAGGTCTAGAGTTGTTGCGTTCAGCCGTTCAGGTAGAAGCACGGGGACCCTGCTCTCCTCTCTCTTCCCAACCCTCTGGGTGATGTGCGATGTTCCGAGCTCCCCTCACGGACGGACGGGGACAGGAGATTGAGAACCGGCAGCAGCTTGATTTGAGTGAGGTACAGCAGGCTCGTGTTCCTTGTTCTCTTCTCCAAGAAAGCTGATCGTGTTGTATGCGTCTGCTGTGACTTATTCCAGTACCACTCTGGTCCTCACCGGCTGAGGGGCAGTGCTGCTCCGCGTGATGGGAATCCACTCCTTTGGTTCGACCCTCCCTTGATACAGCTCTCCAATCTTGACCTGGTCATTGGATCCGCCTTGCTCCTCGTCAGCAGCAGCACCAGCAGCACTACCCTCCGGAAAGACAGTCACCACCGCCACAACCCCCAACAATGCCACCAGAAATCTAACCATCACCGCGTAGTGTTCATCAACTAGAATATAGCGCACCTCTCCAGCCCTCACTGCCGTAGAAGTAGCGCGAGCAACACAGAAGTAGTGGCGGGCGAGCAGTAGAGCCAAGCGCAGAGGACAGACCATATCGTGTACCCCCCGCCCCCCCTAGTTTTACATTTTTTGCGGTGGCCCTGATCCCCTTGGAAATCCCCCGATGCGTTTTTTCTCCCAGCTGTTCTTTTTTCGTCCCGCCCCTCTCCGCACACTCAGTTTTCTCGTCGACACACAACAACTCAACTTTTTCAACATGGCGGACGAGGATGTACAAGCATTGGTGGTGGACAACGGGTCCGGGATGTGCAAGGCTGGCTTTGCCGGCGACGACGCGCCCCGCGCCGTGTTCCCCTCCATCGTGGGTCGCCCCAAGCACCCCGGAATCATGGTGAGCATCTCCCCTCTCCCAAACCTATCCTAGATATGGACGAAAACTCGCCTCAGCGGTTCCAAATGCACAGAAGAACCAAAGCTGGAGGTCTTGGCCCCGCTGGCGGCTGCGGCGGGGCGCAGCGACAGGAGCACGCCCAACTCAGCTGTGCATGGTGTGGTGTTCTAGTTATCTTGTGTTCGCGCTTGCCGCGCTTGGGATGGGCTAGGGAGGTCTTGCCACGTCGCAAGCTGGTCTTGCGTCCTCAAATGTTCTTTTCGCCAAAATTCCCTGGTGCTGTTTTCGGCGAGACATGGCGGGCTTGCGTCTGTTGCGTCTGCTGCCCGCTCTATCTCCGCGGCCCTCGTGCACAAGGCAAGCACCGATTGGAACGCGTTGGGGGATGAACCCGCACTCAGTCGCTACCGAACGCTCCGGTTCCATGGCGTTCGTTCGTATTCCCGCGAGGTAGCAATCCGGGAGAATATCCCAGATTTGTTGCGTTTGAAAAAACAGGCGCACTCTCGCCTACCGATGTTCTCGTTGGTCATGCAGACGTCACACACGCCCGACTCCAAAAAATGACCGGTCCAAAACAGTCTCAGCTCTGCATTACCCGTTGCGCACGGTCCTGCACAGGAGAGTTGCACTCGACCCTGATCTGTGCAGTCGTCGCGCTTGCGCCTGATGTTCCCTCGCGTACGACAACGTTAGTTGGAAAAGAGAGTTGCTTGCTGCTTCCACAACAGTTTGCGACGTGGCCATCCCCCACCTAAAAATCGACTCTTAAATGTTCGTAATAGCGGACTGGTCGCAGACAAGTCAAAGTCACACATCTCCGTGTTCCTGAAATCAGAAGCGTTAGCACCATGTGAGAAACACCACACACTGCTGTTGCCGCCGCCGAAGCTCGTCGGTGTGTGAGAGATGTACAGCAGGGTTGAATGCAGAACCTGTAGTCGGTTCTTTCAACGGCCAACTTTCAAAGGAAAAAAAATAGCTTGCCACCGTTCGCAGGAACTCGCGCTTGAAAATTGAAAGACAGGCCATGCGCGTGTACTGCTGCACCATATGTTCTTTTTTGCCGCCAAAACAAGATGACCACAGAGTAGATACGCACCGTGCTGTCACCTTGGCTTCTCGAATCACATTCATACCCCCTGGCAAATGCGACTGCGACGCCGCGTTTCTGTTCCATGTACGACTCGCGATCAGTACCGCTACCGCAGACGAAATCATGTCCGCTGCGGAGCAACCGTTTTGTTCTGTAGATTTCTTTTTTCGATGGTTCCCCCTATTTTGCTGCCCCTGCCGACAACATTCTGTTTGCATTGCCAACTTCATTCCCCACGCTTCGGCACTTCGTGAGATGATCTGCGAAGATCTGGTTGGTACGCATATGGAACATTCGAAGAAGGAACCAAAAAGGATGAACAACGACCCCCCTCTACGGCTGTGATCCTGCCAGACACACTTGACCGATCACACACGCACATCCCTCTTTGTGTCGAAAGAACAAACATTGTCCCTTCTCGCCGTTGTATGCTGAGATGCTTAACACCGTCGATTACTCCAATCCGTCTCTCCACTCCGCAGGTCGGCATGGACCAGAAGGACGCCTACGTGGGCGACGAGGCCCAGTCCAAGCGTGGCGTCCTCACCCTCAAATACCCCATCGAGCACGGCATCGTGACCAACTGGGACGACATGGAGAAGATCTGGCACCACACCTTCTACAACGAGCTCCGCGTCGCCCCCGAGGAGCACCCGGTCCTCCTGACGGAGGCGCCGCTCAACCCCAAGGCCAACAAGGAGCGCATGACCCAGATCATGTTCGAGACGTTCAACGTGCCGGCCATGTACGTGAACATCCAGGCCGTGCTCTCCCTGTACGCCTCGGGGCGGACCACGGGGTGCGTGCTCGACTCGGGTGACGGCGTGTCGCACACCGTGCCCATCTACGAGGGGTACGCCCTGCCCCACGCCATCAACAGGCTGGACCTCGCCGGCCGCGACCTGACGGACAACCTCATGAAGGTGCTCACGGAGCGCGGTTACTCGTTCACCACGACGGCCGAACGCGAGATCGTGCGCGACATCAAGGAGAAGCTCACTTACGTCGCGCTCGACTTCGACCAGGAGATGAAGACCGCTGCGGAGTCGTCCCAGCTCGAAAAGTCGTACGAGCTTCCCGACGGAAATGTCATCGTCATCGGTAACGAACGCTTCCGTTGCCCCGAGGTACGTGTTTGGCTGTGCCGACGAACACGTGGCACAAATTATGTGTACTCAGGTCTCCTTGGCCAACGCTGTTTCAGCTCATGTATTATTACACCATGGGAACACAACTTCGAAATAAAGGTTGATGCGCGAGCCATTTTCCAATCGTTGATCACACCTACACCAAGACAAACCACACACAAATGTCTTGCATCGGAAAGTTCAGCCATACAACATGAGCGACGCCTTACCAAGTTGGAACTTATTCCTACCGGACGTCACGCACTGTTCCTACGTTCCGCATTTTGTTCCTCTCGACGCAATTTTCTCACCTGCCCCCCCTTGCCACTCCCCCAAAAATTGCATTTTTTTGCCTCCCTCGTCACAGGTGCTCTTCCAGCCCTCGTTCATCGGCATGGAATCCTCGGGCATCCATGACTGCACCTTCAAGACCATCATGAAGTGCGACGTCGACATCCGCAAGGACCTCTACGGCAACATCGTGCTCTCGGGCGGAACCACCATGTTCCCCGGCATCGGCGAGCGCATGACCAAGGAGCTCACCGCGCTGGCGCCGTCGACCATGAAGATCAAGGTCGTGGCACCCCCCGAGCGCAAGTACTCGGTGTGGATCGGTGGCTCCATCCTCGCGTCCCTGTCGACGTTCCAGCAGATGTGGATCTCCAAGGCGGAGTACGACGAGTCCGGGCCGTCGATCGTGCACCGCAAGTGCTTCTAAGTGTTTTTTACTTTCTTCACCGCTTTGGTTTGTAGGCGAAGAGAGAAGCGCGTGAGGCTGTTGGTATGAGAGGGTTGTCGTCGTTATTCTGGCCGTGTTATCTGTTCTTTGTCTCTTGTAATTTGCACGTTTGGGTTTTGTCGGGTGTGTGAAAAGTATTTTTGACAATTTCGCGGCGGGGGTTTAAGAGTTCGGGGGCGTAGGGAACCGGATGATACCGAACGTCAGGGATCTTTGCTCATTTGATTACTAAGGACAGAGCGGATTTCCCAGGATTCTGCGTTCCGTTGGTGAACGCGGGGTCGTACATTCATTGTAGAAAGTCCTTTCAGCAAACGCTTGGATGTTGACTTTTGGTCTGTTCCCCCAGCTGGGCAACGGGGAGGGGAGAAGTACTCTTGCGGCTCGGGTGTGTCGTGTAGCCCTTTCTCTTTTCGCAGTTTGTGCCGCTGTTGCTGTCGGTGGTATCACATCACTCCCTCTCGTTTCTCTCTCATGGTCCATCCGACCGACCCAAACAGGAGTTTTTTGTCACCATTAGTTTGGTTGAAATAGTCGCCCAGGCGAACTACGTGAGGTGTTGTTGAGGCTTAAGTGCTTCCGACATCTTGTTAAGCATGTTGTGGCTTTCGTGGGAAATTAAAACAAAACGTGCGAGCTGTTGTGGCTTGTAAAATCGTAAAAATCACACCTTGAAACATCCGCTCTCAAGTTTTGCGCCCGGCGGCACCCGCTCGTGGAACAAAAGAATGGGGATGTCTTGGTCACTCAACCCGTAGATTTGGCCATGAGTTAGATGTTTCGGCATCAATAACGGAATGAGTCAAGGTTGGGCAGGCACCCGTGCCCCCTCCTTCTCCACCTTTACCCACATCACACGTAAATGATGAGCAACTTTTGACGGATACTGGGAAACGTGTGCATGTTTGAAAGGGCAGTCTCGGAGTGAGCGCAGTCGGGTTCTTCGCAACCCTGAAAATAGTCGGAAGTGAATGACGCTTGTCTTCCGACGTTCACACAAAGATGCGAGAATTGTGATAAAAACGTGCACACACAGCTGGTTGTGCCTCACCGATATAAAAGCACACACGATGGACATGCTGTCCGTGTACGTTGTCGGCAAGAGTGACGAAAAAGCTGCTTGTCCACTGCATGGTTGGAACATAAACATGCGCCGTCAACCAAGAGATCCGCGATTGTTGGCACTGTCCTACAGCGTCATCATCTGCCACCACCCTAGTTGGTCGTGGGACGACAAACAGGAGGCCTATTGTGCTCGCAAAAGCATCGGCTTCTCCAATAATTGTCCTTGGGGGTGGGTGGACTTTCATTCGCATCCCCGCCCCCTCAAAATGCTGAACTCCGGGGAGAAATGACGATAAAACCGTGTCCCTCCAAGAACAGGAAAGAAAACCGGCGGAGGTAATTACGCCACCGCCTCTGCCTCCAAAAGGTGCATGCAGCATGCATTCCTCAATTAAATTTTAAATGCGAGAAAAGGGTTCAGACGCCCGTCTCTCCCCGGTCTAATCGCCACGAGCACCTGCAGGTAGGTATGCTAGGTACGAGATGCGGACTGCTGGTCTACGTCCTCCCTGAGAATGAGCATCGATCACCTAAGTAACTTATATTTTGCTGGCGACTTCTACTATACACCGCTGGGCGACCGATAGGAGAGGAAGGATGCAAGCAAGTAAATTAGACGCCAGGGGGAGCACACACCTCCTCCTCATCGCGATGGTGGTGAATACATGAACTGAGCAAAAATGTCGGGGGTCAACCCACCATCCCCACCGGCCAAATCCTTCGTCCTTCGACCTGTCGCGCTGTTGCTACCACTTCTACTCTTCCTTCGCTCGCTGCTACCCGCACTGCTACTTCCACGGGGACAAATATTGTCTTCGTGGTTTCTAACGCTGCAACTGCTCTTGTTATGTGTCGCGGTCGTGGTGCAGCAGGTAGCGCTCTTCTTTCCGTCCACGCTTGCTAAGCCGCCAACATCATGGTCCCCGCCCGCCCCCACCCGGGGTCGATCTGCCGTCCTCCCCTGAGAGTTCTCACGAGCAGGCGGTGACGATAATGGCGCAGCAGCAAGGGGGGTGCTACGGCTAGGAGTGGCTTTCTGTGCGAACAGCTCCCCCGGCAAGGGGGCATCATCGCTAGCCGCTCCATCCTCCTTGGCCCCCGCCGCCGTCCCGCCCGCGTGCACGGTCGTTTTGGGTTTAGTGTTGTGATCGTCGTCGTCTGCCTCGCTGAGCGTAGCGGTAGCGGGGGAAGCAGTGGCACGGAGCTCATTTGTCGCAACGGTTGCTGCCCCATCATCATCATCATCACCGTCAGTAGTAGTACCAGGCCTTTTCCGTGCTGCTGGTGGTTGTCGACCAATAGGTGTGGCCTTTGGGGGATGATGATGATGATGATGTTGCGGCCTCGCCGCGAACCTCTCGAAGAGGTTGTTGACGCAATCACCGCTAGCGTCTCCGACACAGCCTGCTTCGTCACCGTCGTTGCCGTTAGGGTTGTCGTCTTCGTCGTCAAACCTCGCAGCGCTAGGTACACCTTCCTCGCACCGAACGAACGAATTTTACGTCGGGTTCCGGAGCACGGGATGGAAGCGCGGTGGATGGGATTGGCCGGGGTACATCTTGGCACACGCGCGGGGGGGTCCACCCTCACAAGGACGGCAGAGACAAGAGAGCCGGCAGCTGCTGAAATGACCAAGTCGGTCGAAGCGCACAAAACAACGAAGAGAAGGCTGATCTGTTTTTCTTTCACTTTGGCAGCTACAACAACTGCCTCCCTATTTAGCTTTGGAACAGAAGAAGCGTCACTCAGGATCACAGACACCCCGGAACCCGGAAACGCTTGCGGCGTACGATGACCCAACAAAAACACATGTCGTAACTCTCTTCATGCGCGGAAAGCGTAAAATTCGCTCCTACTCTCCCACCTCCAAGGCTTTTGCTGCGCCGACCGGGTCCCCCAGACCCGCCGCCCCCCACCCCTTCCAAGCCGCGGATCATCCCGCTGGGTGCCACCGATCCGAGCCCGAGCGTCCGCCTCCGCTTCAGCCGGCCGCCGCCGCCACCGCCGCCACCGCTGCACGTGGCGGTGCCTGAGCCCAAGCCAGTCGCCCCGGCCACCGCCGCCGTCTCTTGCGGAACATCGAGGCGAGGATACGCGTAGTGTGCTGCTCCCCATGGGCCCGTGTCTCCGGTGTCGTTATGGCCGCCGCCGACACCTCCGCAAAGAGCAGAGCGACCGCCGGCGGCGGCGCCGGCGGCGGAACTCCTGCCCGCAGCGAGAGGTGGCCGAAATCGCCTACGGAGGCCGGACGACGACTGCACGGCCGCATCCCCCCTACCGCCGCCGCCACCGCCACCGCCGCCAAAGAACTTGCTCGTCGAAGCAGCGGGCGGGTCATCCTCCTCTCCCTGCCCCCCCGATGGATTGTCCTCGAGCGGCGGTGGCATCGAGAGCGGGTCCTGGTTCTCCTTGTCCTCGCACCCGTTGACCTCGCCGGAGGAGGCCGTGGCCGGCGGCGGGGGGGGGGACGGGCTGACGCCGGCGTAGAAGCTGCCGGGGGACACGCACGCCGGCGACTGAGCCGGGCTGGCTCTGTCCGGATCAAGTTTCTGGGTGTTGCAAACGGCGGGAGCGGGGGGGGGGTAGGGTCCGCAGAGACGGGCGTAGGAGGGTCTGAGTCCAAAAACACTCAATTTGTCCACGTAGCAATGTTACAAGGATCTACGATAGTGGTAGTGCATGGGGGCACCGAGAGTCCAGTCACAGACTGCAAGGACAAAAAAAAAGATCCCGTGACCTTTTCCCAGCCTTCCTTTTGTGTCATCATTCGTATCCCACCTACAAACGCCTCCGCAAAAAAAAAAACACAGCCCCCTCTACCAAACAGCCAGTGACAAAAATAGAGCTACCGACGCCCAACGTTTCTGTCCGCACCTTCTCCAGCGTTCGGGATGCGGCGGCCCCTCCACCGCGGAAGCCTGCCACTCGCGGGGGGCGGTCAGGTGTCGCGCCGCCGTCGCCGCCGGCGCCGCCGAGCTCAAAGCCGCCGCGGCCCGCGGCCACGCCACCGCCGAAACGCTTGGCGCCAGACTTCTTGGAGGGCAGCGGCGCGCCCCAGTACTTGGTGAGGTTGTTGCCCTGCGCGGACAGCTTCTTCGTTTTCCCCGCACCACCACCGCCGCCTGGCGCAGGCACGGAGCCCCCTCGCCACGCCGCCAGCGCCGCGGCCGCCGCTTCGCTCATGGCGCTCTCTGGTGCTGTCAAGCGGTCAACAGAGAAATTGTCGGTGGGTCGAAACAGCAGAGTCGGATTGATTCTCCCGCGCCACAGTGGCCGGAGAGAAGGAGGTGCAAGGGGAAGGGGGCCGGGGTACTCACTATCACGTGGTAGTCGGCAGACAAGGCCGTCTGCACCCGGGGCACGAACATGCAGAGGCCAGCGACGACAACTACCTACTGGTGCCATTCATTATGGTTGGACCTTGTGGCGGGAGCAAAATTTGGCCGCCCGACAGCAGCAGCCCTCGAGCTCAAACTCACTCTTCGCGCCGTCCTTTCCCCCCCCCCGGCCTCCCATCTCCGAAAAAGTCTCCCCGGTGATGGGGTCCACGTCGCCGTCGGCGACGGCGCACCCTCTCTCTTGCTCAACCGGAGGGCCTTTGGGGTGGACAGACGAGGTAGATCACGGGGCCGAGCGACACTGGATAAGAGAAACACGTTTGTTTTTATGTACATGCAGGTGATCCCTCGGGAGTGGGCTCATGAGAGCACCATACATGTCATGAAGGGGGTGACGCAAGTTGCAATAATACACAGTATATTAGCAGGGCCAGCCCACAGCTGGCTATCAGCTGCCAGGTGTGGCGTTTCCCAAGCTCGAGCAGCTCACACAGCTCACGTTTTTTTTACTTGAAGAGCCCGCAGCGAACCTCAGCGAACTAAAAAGAAATAACTACAAATCTGTACACAGCAGTAGTCTTCACGTATGTAGGAGGGAGACAAGGAACGAGAGAAGAGAAGAGCGAGGGACAAAATGATGAAATGAATTAGGACGTACGTCACCTCTTGTGTGACCCCGGCTGGTGACGAGCCCAGAAACGGAAGGGTATATGACCTTCACAACAAATAGGGCGACACACAGACTGCGAAAACCTCGACCGAGGGAGCACGCCGGTGAAACGAAGCACCTCGGGGAGACAACAATACACATAACCTTAACCTTGCGAGACGTGACCAAACCGCTATGTGTCACACTCTGTTCCGCTGCGGGTAACGGAACCCCCCCTCCCTCCCCCCCACTACTACTCCCGTGCCATAAGACACGACTTGGAAGAGCACAGACCCATGCCAGTGCTCACCCAGGAAGGCCAGCGCGGCGGCGCGATCCAAATCACGGGGCCCCATTCCGTCGTTAGCTGCAGAAGGTGCTGTCGTTATGGCGCTCGGCAAGATCTCCGGCAGCGGCGTCATGTGCACCACGCTGCGGGACACGGGGTCGAACGCTCGCTGTCGTTGCCATGACGGGTGCGAGCACGAGGGGGGGGGGGGAGGGGGCGTACTTATGTTTTGCATGCCTTGGCGGTTAGACCATTGACCAAGCGTCCTCGAGAGGACGGAGCATTGTTCCCACAGGACCGATCACCAACGATGGCCGGCCGTTCCTTACTACTTCGCCAAAGTAGTTGACTCCAACATGTTTTGCCTACCCGGGAGAATGGGGGTGGGGGGTAGAGGTGAATCGCTAGTTCCCAAGACAGAGCAAGGTGGGCGAACAGGGGTCGCACCACCAACAAACAACGACAAAAACACGGGAGAAAAATGGTGGGAAGCAACTCTGTTGATTTTTCTGGGTCCTTTCGCTTTCTGTTTACTTTTCCAAAGTTTGCATGTACCCTCGTTGGGTAGTTGGCCTGTGACTACGACCACGTCCGCGTCTGCTAGACCGGTACGGATGTTACAAGCTACTGAGCAGAGACTGGGACGGTTTGTAGAGTATGACAACATCAACAACAACAGCAATCGCAACGGCAATGACAAGTGGTGTGCCGGAGGTGATCTCGCCAGTAGCAAGGATCGCAGAGAAGACAGGGAAGGACCATCGCACACTCGGCAACCTGCACAGGGTGATTGATGCCACGTCTGCCTTTACGTACGCAAACGGTGGACGTAAAGGTGGTGGCGGAGTGTATGCACCGTTATCTTCATGGCCTGTTTTTTTTTTCGCGGTGAGCATTCTTCCATGCTTGGGCCCGACAAAAAATAAAGGGGCCAACAGATAGCAAGCGAAACACGAGGCGAAAATAGGGGTGAGAGCCTACAAGAGGGAGTCAAGAACCAGACGCGGATTGCAAAAACACGTTGTCCGCCGGAGAAACGAGGAAAACAATCACTTCACTGTGACGCTCTTTCTATCCGATTCGCCACACGAATGATTCAACGATATTGACAATCATGCCACACGTAGATACCTGGTGTCGGAACGTGAGCAACGCTCGCTGGAAGTCCGCTTCGTAGCCACGGGGGAAAGACCCTGCGGAGTCAAACTTGACCGCTCTCAAGATCTTCGGCAGCTGCCACGGGTAGAGGAGAGGAAACGGGGCGGCAGGGCCTCAGCAAACGTCCTCTCTTTCCACTCCTATGCTCACTAACCATACCATAGGATAGGTCCGACGGCTGATTTTGGTTGGAGGAAGGTTCTCTAGCAACAATTTGCCAACGGTGTGGGTGGGGCGAGATACCCACCCAGATGATGGCAGGGTTTGCTGCGATGGCACTCGCCTCTTTGTGACGAGACACCATCCGGTAGGCCTTCTTGAGCCCCATGCCGTGCACCGAAGGGAGATAGTCGCAGCCGGAGAGCGCGCAGAGCGTCATCAGGTCGTCCTCGTTCATGCCGCGCATGTCGAGCTCGTCGTTCCTGCCGGGAACATTCGACGAAGACGAAAAACTCAGTCGGCGCCAGCTCAGCAAGAAAGTTGAGGACATGAAGGGAAAGCAAGGGCAACAAACAGGCCAAAAGCAGCGACCACGAGGGAGTTGTACAACAGACAGCCAATGCGGCAAAACATTCTCGTTGCAGCACCCCAGCCTTTGCCCCGTGCACAACCCGCTCTGCATAGATCGCGCGAAGAGACCGATCGATGTAGTAGACCAATCGCGACCAATCCTCCACACGACGCCCCCCCCCCCCGTGTGAACAATGCTCCGTCCTCTCGTAGACGCGTGGTTCCAATGGCATCTAACCGCTGAGGCATGCAAAACAAAAACATGAGTATCCCCCCCCCCCCACCCTCCGCCCCGGATGCAACGCAACACGGTCCTCCCTCTTTACTCTCCCTCCCCGCCCCGCCTCGCCCCTTCACCCCGCGCCCAACCCCCGACGCAACGCAAAGCTGTCTCTCCCCCCTCCTTACGCTCCCGCTTTCCCCTCTCCCGCTGGCGGCTGGGTCACCTTCGCGAGAACACCTCTCGCAGGTCCACCTCCTGCCCCGTCCCGTCGCGGTCCAGCTTGAACACGACGCGCGTGCAGCCGAAGAGCATGATGTCCGAGTCCTCCGTGATGACGGCGTCGACGTGGCCGTTTCGGGCGAGGAATCCGAGCTGCGCGTCCGCCTCGTACGGAGCAACCACGTACCGCACGCCGGGAATCCGCTTGATCACCTGATATTGTTGTTGTTGTTGTCGTCGTCGTTGTTGTTGTTGTTGTTGTTGTTACTGTTGCTAGTGTTGTGTTGTTTTGTTCTAGCCCACGCGCGGTTACCATTGTACCAAGGGTTCCGGAAGCCTGAAGTTGTCGTTGTTGCTCCACATGTAAGCACTCGAGAAGTTATTAGTGAAATGTGTGAAAACGATCAAGGCTTGATCTTCGTTCTCAGGGGTGTGTGTGTGCGCGCGTGACATGTGTGACGGGCACACCATGATGCTCGTGGCGCCACAGATCGCACACCCCCACGCGTCCCCCGGACAGGGAGAGGGCACCGTGTCAGCAGAGAAAACACACAACACAACGACGAAGACAAAACACACACACACACAACAAACGCCATTTATCATGGTTATCAATATGGTATTTTAGTGATCATCATGGCGTCTTTCACTGGGCACACCACCAATGATAGGAGGTAAATTATCCCGGCATCTTCATTGTTATACATGCACGCGCCTGGATAACCTGGTGCGCCATGAAGGGGGTCACGTCGGCGGCCTTGCAGAAGAACTGGTGCGCCCCCGAGGGGTTCCCCTCCCTCATCAGCTGCATGCCGCGCTGCAGGTTGGACTCTCGCCTGGCCCTCCGCTCTTCCTCCTTGCCCGCCTTGGCGGGAAGGTGGCCTCCGTCGAACACCAGGTAGGGCTTCACCCCGTGACTCAGGAGTAGGTGAACCCTGTGAGGGGGGAGGGGGGGGGGGGGGGTGTACTCATACTCGTGCATGCCGTAGTCGTTAGACCATTGGCCTCGCATCCCTACAAAGCCGGGGCGGAGCACGCCGGGTTCTCAGCGGACCAGGCTCTCACATCACCAAGCGCGAAGCGCCGTTTGGTTTTCGGCAAGAGGGCGAGGGGGGGGGGAGCGTACTCTTATGTTTGGATGCCTCAGCGGTTGTTGACGCGAGAGGACGGACCATTGTGGGCCGAACACCCATGTCCAATCGTGTCCTTCCTAACTGATGGAGGGGAGTTCGCGCTCAGGCGTTGCTTGGCATTGGAAGCCCACGCGGTTCCTACATACATGGCAAACTCGTGATCACCTCCCTAAGCATGGGGTATGATCGATTGAGAAAGCCTTACAGGCAGCTGTATCACACACACATGTGTATTATCCCGCCGGAAGGTTACGCAAAACACACGCACTGACTCGGGGCCGGTCGTGTGCGTGGTGAACGCGCAGTTTGATCGCGCTGCGCCTGGACGAACTGCACCATCTTGCAGCATTTTGGGCCTGTTCGTACCCCACACACAGACGGTTTCGGGCTGAAAAGAAGACAGGAATCACAGCAGGGAGCCGAACGTATCGGAGGTTAAAAAAGGTTACAAGATACCACACCCGTGGGCCGAATTCAAAGCTCGCTTGCTTTGCAGCAATAAACAGCCAGTGACGATGCCGAGAAAACGGCGGCTTGGGAACCGTCCTGCTAACAGCTTGCCGAAAGCAGTTGATTTTGCCATCCTTTTGTCGTGGAGTGAACGGTCCGGAAGGGGTATCCCAACCTACAAGCAGTAGAGGCTGCTGCACTTGGGCAACAGCTGAAGTACAACGGGAATTGAACATTGAATGTTCCTCGAAGTCTCCTTACCTCTCTACGCAGTACTTGATGAACTTGTCGGTAGCGATTCCCTGGCAAAGCTCCGCGCTGCAGCTGTAGATTCCCTTGTGCAGCCAACAGTACGTGTCAACGCCGACAGTCTAGAAGGAGGACGGCAAGCAAATGGGCGTAATGGTAATGGTGTGGATGCGGAAGCAGCCAGGTGGCATACATCCGTCGAGTCGAATTTTGAATTTTGAACTTGGACCTGAGAAGGGAGTGCTTGCCATTCGACAACAAGAGAGTCCACGGCGGGACTTGCGCCCACATGTATTGGAAAGCAGACTGTGTTCCAGGATAAGTAGGGACCACAGGGATGCAGTAATCTCGATGCTCAGATTTCTGGGTCACTCGAGCAGCAGGGAATGTCATGCAGTAGCGGTCAGTTGGATCGGTTGATCAAGCCGCGCGGGCGGCGGGGTGTGTTTGAAAACAGATTACTGGGCGCTCACCAGACCCTTGAGCTCTCTGATATGTACATCCTTGGTGACCGGCTTTAGGAGCGGAAGGAGCCCAGTGATCCCCATGGTAGCAACGGCGTGAGCGGCCCACCGGCCAGGCTAACACCAGGGAGGATTGTTGCACAGCACAGCAATCTGCAATGCACTGCATTCAGCGAACGCGGGGGAGACGCAGGTTGACCATTTGAACCCCCCCTACCACTCAGTTTTAAAAACACAGCTTGCAAGCTGTGCCTGTTATACCCACACAGCACAGAGGGGAGATGTCGCTGTGTGCTGCTCGGGAAATCGTGGAAATACAGGTAGCCTTCCTCTGACGCTATGGATCCATTGCTAATCTATATCTTAGACTCTCAGATAGAGATGGATTCGTTGTGTCATACTAAGAAAATAAAAAAACACAGCTACACTGCACTTGACACTTGACTTCATGCTCGTGAGAGAGCAGCGCGTGATCTGACCTCTTGTATGCATACACACAAGCACACCATGCCAGTCGAAAATGAGTTGCCCGGAGCGTATTGTTTTATTCAAAAGGGGGAAATAAACTAAATACGCCTCTGTTGTCTAATAGTCCACCATTTACTGCGCATCTACTGTAGCTACTGTTCATGTGATCACAACGAAACAAGCATCGTGCCGCAATCTACATGTATCTCGTGGGTGCCTTTTCCCTTTCGACAAGTCAAGTGCGAAAGGAACACTCTGATTCAAACTGATGGGGGCAACTCATTACATACGTCACACGCCACGTGGGAGGCGAAAAAAATGTCGACTTCAGAGAAGGAGCGACCAACCATCGGGCAGCCGGAACAAACGTGTACCTTGGGTGTGTATGTTTCAGTTCATGCGGCCTTGAATGATGTGGTTTTCAACGGCGTCAGCAGAGGCAAAACATCTGTAACGAGTACGCAAGGCTAGCCAACTGCCTTGCGAGGTTGGAACGTCTCGATTTAGGAACCTACACTGCTGAGAGGGGAAGACATGAATGTATGGGAGGGCTGGATCCCTCGTCTCATTGCCCACATACAAACGGACTCGGCGTGCACGCACGCCATGACTAGCCAGAAGGGGCCGGCGGCAGCCACTGCACGAGGGTCTCCGGATGCTGCTGCAGGTATGAGTACGATGAAACATTCGCCGTTATTTTCTTGCTTTTCGACCAGAGAAACACGCACTCGACCACTCCTCATTCCATTGCCTCGTGTCGCCTGCTCAAAGCTTGCACAACACTCCACGACTTCTCCATCCGCGCCACCACCATCTCAGCAAAAACACGTGCCTGCCTTTGGACGAAAAATTTCAGCCCTACCGCACGTCAAGTAGCACACGTCGTCAGTGCTGGGGCGCGCAAGCCAGTCAGCAACACCCCATCATCATCTACGTATATACAATGGTGGGGTATTTGAAGCCAAGGTCGCGAAAACCAAAACACAAGTACAGTACACTACACTTAAACTGAACATCAAATCTGCTTGAACAACGGAATAACGAAGCACGTTTGTTTTGTCCCAGCACCTATCATGACTACTTCAAACTAAAATAATTCGCATGTGTAACTTCAGAAGACTACCCCCAACTTGTAGGCAGCAAAAGCCTGCCCTCGGAACATCACCCTGACAAAGATACACACAACATAAAAAGAAACACACGGCACGGGTAAACTCCAGAACAAACACACGGTAAATAGTCTACTCCGGGATGAACCTTCACCTCTATAGCTTACGGTACGGCCGTCACAATTCGTGCAACGTCGAACAACACTACCGATCGTTCTTCATCTACCCCCGTTCCTTAGACAACAGTGAGCAACAGGAACCACAAGACGTGGTAGGTGGCAACCGCCGTCAAGAGGAGCACCATAGACTTCTCGGGCATGTGCTCTTGCAGCCGGGGCCAGGAGCTCCGGAGGACGAAAATCGCCGCCACCAGACTCGCCGCTGCGAGGCCGCACGATCGGAACGGCCAGGACAACAGGCAGAGCGGGGCCGCCGCTAGGAAAGGGGTGAGAGAATAACCGTATACGCTGAGGGCCTGCGGACAAGGCACGCAGGCAGGCCGGGCGGTACGGAGGGTGCGACGAAACAAAAACAGGAACAATCGGAGGCGGAGCAAAAGAGAGGTTGAGGAACGCGGGGGTGGAAAACACAACCGCAAATGCACAAGGACAATAGTCTATCTGCGCGGAGGGAACAGCAGAAGGGGGGAATCACATCGCCGTACAAGCTCGGCAGCTCCCGGGCTCCTCCCTCTTGCATACAATAATCGGTATAGAACACAGGACGAAACAAAAAAAGGGAGCCGTGTCTCATCATATGCATACAGCAGTGCCGTGTACAACTTAGCCTAAGATCAAAAATTAAAACGTTGTCCCCGCTCTTTCCCCTCTCAAGCTTGTTCTGTACCCGAGGAACAAATATACCACAAGAGGCGGAGAGATGGCAGCCCCCCTAGACCTACTCTCAAAAGCTCGATTGCTCCTCAAACAAGTGGATGCTGAGCGAGCCCGATACGTCAACGGAAAGTCGTCGACGAGGTGCTCCCAAAACCACCATTTATGGTGTTGGCACAATCTTGGGTTTGAAACAATCGAGCTTGAAAATCGAACTAGGGGGGGGGTGCCATCTCTCCGCCTCTTCCCGTAGCCCTTGGTTACAAGGTCAATACCCAGCACATACGTTAAAGGTGCCCAGTCTGATGAAAACGCACGAACCAGGTCATCGTCGATAATGGCGCAGAGGCACGCCAAGGCTAGACGCAGACAGCACACGCAGCTCACACTCGACTATAGGTATACAAATATTATTTGTCGCAGCACAAGCCACGCTCGGGTGATCAAATAAATCCGTGAGTTTGCAAGAAAAACTCTCTCCCACGGGAATAGGACTGGCACTGAGAATGTGCCAGGATGCAGCGCTCCCTGTTACCATACATTGTACCGTTACAAAAATAAAGCGGAATACACAGACCCAATCAATAATATTGCCCTTGGCCAAGTACCTCGGCCAAAGATAGAGGCACGCCGTGCGTCCGGAAGAAAGCCCAGAGCCCGCCGGTACCGATGGCCAGGTAGGCCAGCACCGAGTAAGCGCTCGTCGACACGTCATCGAACTCCCCCAAGGAGGCGTCATCCGTCATCGCTCGTCGGGCGTTTACCGCGACGGAGAGCAAGAAAATCAGGGTCGCGGGCACCTGCGCGGAGTGCGTGTCGGAACGGGCGGGAGAAACGTGAACCAACAAAGTGTGTACTCGTGTCGCCACAGATGGATCAAGCCTTACCCTGCTACGTCCTCACACGTGCGGTCGTTGGCACACGACCCCATGAGCGTTGTATTCTAAAGAGACACCCAACATCAAAAAGCAAGTGTCATGGTGGAGTGCGTTTGAAAAACGCAACGATGGTCAAACTGGAGCAACAACATACCATTGCAGGCGAAGAATCTTGGAGATAGGGGGGGGCGTGGGGTCGGTAGTGCTCTCTCGTGGTCGGTAAATCTCCGCCGACAGGGAAGACGCTGGAGATTCCGGGATGCATCACAACAAGTTACTGTTGCGTTGAAAACAGGTAAATCTGGACGTGGAAAAGGCTACACGGCAGTGCAGAAAACAGATTCGTCGATGCCATGCCCCATGACTGTAGACGTGACCGATTTGTACGACAATGGCGTCGTCCACTCACCCAAACCGGGCCGTACAGGTCGACTTTGGAGGAGTCTCCCTCTCCAAGGAACGAAGCCGTCTTGCGCATCGGCCATATCGCCTGCAGTAGCTTTGTCTTTACTTCGCTCGTGTCCACGTCGAAGTACGGCTGGTAGTACTGCAGCGACAGCAGCCCACACATGCTAATCTTGGGGCCAGGTGGAGGTGGAGAACCTCGCCCGCCTTCTGCCTTTCCACCACCGCGGTTCTTACCCAGAAGGTTCTGCCCGCTTTGGGAATCCTCTGGTGAGATGCGATCAATCGCGACGACGGTTGGCGGCAGAGACAAGGAGGCATGAGGGCGGGAGGGGTACGAGGGTAGGACGACCATGGGCTGAAGCGCTCACACTGCTCGTTAGCTCTATCATCGACAAAGAGGCCGGAACAACGGCACGACGAGGGGTGAAATACATACGGAAAATTTCTTCACCTGGATCCCAGTCTGCTGGATCTCGCTCCACTGTGGCCATCATCTTGAGCCCAGGGTCGTTGAAGCCAAGTTTTCCCACGGGGGATGTATCGCCGGCTGTCTCTCTGCTTTAAGCCTGTCTCTGTGCACTACAAGCTGCGGTTGTGTCGCGCTGCTGTTGGTACGTGTTCAGTGCCCCACACAGCACGACAGCACGCGCTTTCTCATTGATCGGGCGGAGCCCCTCGGTTTTCCAGACAATCCGCAGGTGGGCGTGTTTTTTCGGTTTCAACTTTTATTAATTCCTCCGCGATGACATGCATGCTCATGCCCGTTCGACCATGCTTATGGGGTGAACAACGTCCTACAAGCACCGGTCTTCCCTGCTCTACGTACCGTGGAGCTATGCTACCCCAGGAGCAATGGTGGCCGAATCCGAAGACCTCGTGACCAACGCTGGCATCGCATGCGCCATAGGCTTTGCGCTCTTCATGTTGTCCTTCTCCTACATCTCGTGCTTTCGTTCCAAGGCTCGCTACGAGCTGTCCAAGCTGCAGGAGTTAATCGTGTGCTACCGCTGCTTGTCTGGGGCGTTCATACTCTTGCTGTTTCCGCTGTTTTGGGTGGCGGCATCGGAGGCCCGTCCGGTGATCACTCCAATCACGTCGTTTGGCAATGGATCGTCGTGGAACTATGGCTGGGGCCGCCCGGTCCTGCACTTCGGCTTGGTGTTCGTGGGGATGTTTGTGGACACCCATCAAGCAGCTAGGCTCTCCTGCTTGGTTGGCATGATGCAGGCCATTGTGTTGGACACGCTTTCCTCGTACGCTCTGGGCACTCAGATCGATTGTGTGCAGTCAGGGAGGTGCGCGGTGCCGGAACACACCACGTTGTCGGGGTTGCGGCTCCTGCAATCTCGAGACCTGGCGTCGGTGGCGTTGGCTACGTGGGCCTTGCTCTTAGCCTACTATCTCAGCCTTGTCATTGGCATGTGCCGAACACGATACAACTTTCGCCAGCTCCACGCCGGGGACCACAACCGGGTGCTGGTTATGCGGCGAGAGCTTGCGAAGCGTAGCACGAGGAATAGAGACGACGACAACATCCTTTAATCTACAACCAACCGGTCAGTGCCTGGACGCACAACCATGACGACGGTGTCTGTTGCTGCCGTATGTAGCAATGTGAGTCTCACCCGTCGAACTGAGAAATTCCTGTTTTTGTATCATAGTTTTAGTCGTGTGCTTCGTTTAGTAGGTCAAGATGATACATTCCCATCAACGCGTGTCTATCTGCAAGTTCATGCGCCCTGGCAACGGCATCTCGGCCTACCTGCTGCTCAAAAAAAATTGTAGTTGTGGGCGTGCTAAAACCAAGGGGGGTAAACCATGTTATTTGTAAGTCTACTCACAAGATGCAGTCGTGTCATGATAAAATGTCTTACTGCTAGTATGGAAAAGTACAATACTCCGGAGTACATAGTTGCTCGAAAAAAAAAATGTATACGTGGGTAGACCGGACAACTAGCGTATCTTTGCGACGTCGGCTGCATGAGATACCTCCTGCGACCAGACGAAGCATACTTCAAAACGACGCCACCTTGCGTGAATCTGTCGCATGTGTTTGTTGCCGCTGCCGAGAAACGGATACACGTATGGTTGCCGCCGCGCACAACTACCAGACAAGGATGCATGTGCTGACCTTCTTGCATAACGACAAAACCGACAGCGGACAGTTTGGGACGTGAACACACATGTGCCAACAGAGTTGTTGGTGTGTGGCGAAATAGAGCGGAACCTGTCCTACCGGGGAACACTGCTGCATTGTGCAGCGTTGTTTGAAATATGTGTAGTACACCGGTGGCGTGTACCGCTGCAGCGCGCAAACCGACTACTGCTGTTGACACGGCAAGATATGCACTCCACCGTAAACATACGTGTCGCATGTGTTGGCAGAGAGAGATATTCGTGTATAATGAATCAGCGCGGAGCACGTCCCGTTGGGGAACATCACTGCACGCTACAGCAGTGTTCAGCAGTATTTGAAGCATGTACAGCAGTACATCTTTGTCGTGTACCGCTGCTGCTGCTTGCTGTGGACGCATTTAGACCGTCCTGATTGCATTTTTGGATCTATGTCCATCAGACACACGCAAGAAAGAAGACGTTTTGCAAGTAAGTATGATTGCCCTGCGCAGTTTCCACGTGTGTGGTTCCTCTCCATGCATGTCAAAAGTCGTCGTGGGCGTTTGTTCGTGTTGCGCAGTAGTAGCTATTGCGCGTATCGGAGTGGCACCGCAGCGATTTAAATCGGGAACTATCGGCAATGGTGCACTGTAGACGTCCTCATCCTGCCGACGTTCGCACACGCATCCGATCTGTCCTACAACCAACACTCGCACCGACGGAACCAAGACGACCATCGACGTCAAGAACACTTTGTCGTGTGGCAGGAGGTACCCATGCAGCAGTCGTTGTCGCGATAGGCTAATTTCCCTGTCTGGTCCATGGAGACAGCAATAATATTTCGACCCATATATACTGTATATATTCGTTTTTTCCGGTACTATTTTTTCCCACCCATCACCAATCAATGCTATCAAGTTGGAGCTTTTCGCGTCCTTCCCTCGCCACGTACACAACACCTCTTCACTCCAGGAGCCGCCGTTGACAGCGGCATTCCCTGATCTCTTTGAGTTCCTTATACCGTGGTGCATTCCCAGTTCTTCTGTGCTGGCAACTTTTCCGAACCCTGTGTTCCGTCCGCCTTGCACACAACGAAAATATGACGGTCAAACACCGGCATTTTCCACAAGAATGTTTTTCGACTTTTTTTTGCCGCGACGAACTTCTTAAAAATCACACCGATATGAGAATTTACGCCGAGAACGTACAAATCTATGTAGCGGACGTGCGGCCCTCGTATCGTGAACCCTAACTTCCCTTCTACTACGTTTTTTATTCTTCAGCATGAAGTGCGGCTACGGGACGCCACCCAGCAACGCGACGTGTAACCTCGCCATGGGTGTCCCCCTCACGTAGGCACGACGGTAAAGAAGGTTGGGATGACGTCGTAGTCGTGATGGACGTGCGGCGAAATCATGTTATGGCATGTGAGGGGGACACCCATGGCGAGGTTACACGTCGCGTTGCAGGGTGGTGTCCCGTGGCCGCACTTCACGCTGATGAGAAAAAATAACATAAAAATAGAAAAATTCCGAATATGAACAATCAGCAACTTGCGAATTTCTCTTTCGAGATTGTTGGGTGTTTGAAAGGCTGTGTCAGAAGCCCTGTCGATTGTGTCAAAGAATACTAGCAGGACATGTATTGATTGGCTTTCCGTTTCTGACGGGAGCACGTTCACACAGCGTCGTCTTTTCCCAATTCCCTCCTTGCAACTTTTTTGCCACCCCCGTCTTCCGTCCGCCTTACGTTTGTTGATCGGGCATCGACCTTTCCACGACAATTCCTTCCGTTTTTTTTTGCGGAACCACCGATCTACGCAACGAACGCGTGGACCTGACATCGTTTAAGCCACCTTCGTTTACCCTTCTTGTTTAGCGATGTCATCATCGCGTCTACTTCTTCTTCCTATCGAACCGCCGCACCCATCTCACGCACGCTGGCCGTCCGCCCCATTCGGGGGGCCAATCGTTCCCCCTAGTATGTATCTAATACGTCAATACCGGAAACCACGAGCGTGTGGCTGGTTGCACACGCTCTACATTGATAGAACGCTTCTTTTGCCAAACGACACCAGCAGCTCCCCTCGACTGCTGTGGATGAGTTTTAGGATTTTGATCGGCGTTGACTTCAGTTTGCTCAAACTTGAATGATCATCCTACTGTAGTCCCCGCATAGCAGAGACTAATGTCTGTTGGTTTCTTGCGTGGTTACTTTAGTGCTCTAGTTCCACATTCAGAAAACTCGATGCGGAAAACAACGTTAAACGCGATGGTATACAATAACGCACATTTCAATTGTCACACCTTTGCGCTTGACACATATATACGGCGGTAGCACGTTGATTGGTCTTCTTATCGCCGTTCCACACCACCAGTGCGCTCCTTGACACCACACCGACATCCGCTTCTTGTGTCGGCGCGTCATAGCCGAAAAAGCCGAAGCTTGTCAACTTGTTGGTGTACATTCCCTAAAAACAAGATTCTGTGGATACAACAATCTAACCGACACGCGCTGATATAGCTTCGGGATACGGCGATCAGTGCTCCTCAAATGTACAGGAAACGTTTCTAAAATCGGCAGGCTATCTCTACATCTCGATCTATGCTCCTCACGGTCTAGGTTGAGAAACAACTTTTGAATATCATCGTCAAAGCGCTGTTTGTTGATCTTTATTGTCTCTATATTGGCAGGTGCTCGTCGTCAGCGATGATTTATTTGCAGAGGGGGAACGAACACCACCAACCTATGGAAACATCGCTGGCACCGAGCTGCACTGTTCCAGCCGACAAGCTTTTGTGCCGGAAGTGTGATCCCAGTTTCGAGTAGAGAGAGCGAGAAATGTGTCGATGCGTGGGAGTAGAGCAGAAGCAACGTGTTTTGTACCCAAATGCACATGTAGAAGTACAAAGCCGTTGGCAGGGTCACGAGAAATCATCCGAAACATTGCATCGCTGGTTTTTGGTCTTGTCGTTGCATGGTTTGAAAGACACGGCTTTTCTGTGGGCATGCACTCTTGGAGATGATATTGCAGCGGTAGCGCGTGGGGCTGAGCCGCTCTGGAGAGCTTACCGCAGGTGCTTGCTGAGAAGTAAAGTCAGCTTGATAGATGCGAGAGTTGGAGCACGGCTGAGTGCTGTTACGCAACTTGGCGGCCCTCCGAACGATGAGACAATTTTATGTCGCTATTACGCCGACTCTACTTGTAGGACCGGATTTTCAAGGTAGAAGATGAACATGAGAGACATAGGCGCGCTGGTGAGCTCTTGAACGCTAGAAACAATGAAAAAATATGCATCTACCGTTGCGGACCCTGAATAGTTCACCGCCTATGGTGGGGTCCCCTGAGATTTATTCGGACCATACGCTGACAGCCCGTACATTCCGACCGTAAGCTGACAGCCCGTACAGGAACATGTCGCACAGCGTGTGGGTCTCTGCTCCTTTTTCCAGCATACAGACCGAACGTGCTCATGCTATCCTACTGTCATCATAGCTTGGTTACTCATTTGTCTACGTAGCTAACAGCGAACACAGAAGGGATAGCACTTGGCTGCTGTCTACATGGACATGTACATATCCCCGACATGTGTACGAGTCAAAGCAGACGTCCGGCTACATGCGCAGCTGTACACCGCCGTGCTGTTACCAATCGACGGTGCTGCAGTAAACTTCGCCATCATTGCGTCGACATTGAAGTTGGAGTCACAAAAGAAGCATGAACGCGACTCGACTATGATAACAGCTTTATTCCTCTTGGTCTCGTACATTCACAATCATACCTATCCGTGCATTTTTCCGTTATGTGGCCCGAGGCTTGACCTCTTGGGACAGACTAAAGATATTGTACGAGATCCGATCTAGAGAATATGTGTGCGGGCGGGGAATGCTGTTGGTGGTTCAAGTGCGGGGCTCCTCCAGAGAGAGCACGCACATGTGTTCAGTCTTTGTGTGCTGGAAGAGCACGGTGTGTTAATCAAGGTTTATGTCATCAACATCGGTCCTGGGTTAACATAGTCTCTAGATACAACACCCAATTTCGGCGGGAAGGCGCGAGAGCCTCTAACACTCTAACCCTAACACTATACCCCAAGATTCAGAACTTTTCCCGATCATTTGATCTTTTTGGCGTCGACAGAAACACTCGAAGTACAGGTAAACCCGTCTTCCAATTGCCTAGCTCCCTCCCCACCGGAAAAACGGATTTTTTGTTGTTTTGTGTTCGCTGCATCTTGAACGGGGCCATCAAAGAGAAATTAAACTATACGGTGAGGGCGGCTTCATTCAACTAGGGAGGGAAGCATCTCAGTTGCTTCGTTGTCAAGAGAGAAACGAAAATTTTGGGGGAATGCGTTCTACGATGCGGCACATGCCTGGTGGAAGCCCGTTGTGTTTTCCAACTGTATTGCATAGCAGAAGCGGACTACCGTGTTTCCCAACACTGTGAAAAGTACAATGGTTTTCTGCAACGGTCTGTAGGTTGCGGTTTTGTACCTGTTTCTTTTTGTGTGTGTGTTGTGGCGAAGGCAGAGCATTTTGTTTGCCGATCCCACTAAATGAACACCTTCTACATACAGACATTGTCGGTCGCTTGGACTTCACGTTAACACACACCAACACATGATCAGAACGGACCACCGAGAAGTACGGGTCGCGTCCACGCGTATTATCTTGGCAGTTAAGAGATCAAGCCTCGAAAAGTTCAGAATCTAGGCCATAAGAACAAGACTTGTTCCGACGTGGTATCAAGAACAAGAACCGCCCTTTGCTTGAGGGGAGTAGCACCGTGAAGCAGGGGGGGGGTCCTACCATCACAGAGCACGGGGAAGGCCGTCAACACCATTGTAGCTATACGGCGAGGGTCTGCTATTGTTCCTTATTCATGGACTTCGTGCAAGGGGACATGTAGGTCTAAACTTCCAGCTGTGTGGGGTACACCAGCAGAGTAGAAGAAGATATACCTGTAGAAAGGCGGCGTCGCCTAAAAAGAAGGCACCCTATTGTCCACAAAGGCCACGTTGGGCGCTCGTATCCCCCCCTGTTCGCCCTCTGCGGATGCCTGCCCGAAATATGAACTTGGAAAATATGAACTCGTGCTCAGTTTGCGACAGCCAACACGCCTCGAGCCTCCTGCAAAATATGCGGGCGCCATCTTTACTACTGCTGTTATTTCAATGTATACATTGGTTACAAGCACTGCCACAAAGAGTAATTGTCAAAACATGTGTCAATGGCAGCTCAAACAGAAGTGTACTGCTGCTGCTGTTGTGGTGCGTCGCGCCGTCCTCGCGTACGAAGGAGGCATCCCACAAGTCTTACGGGTATTGTGGTGCGTCCCCCTGTAGATGGCAGCAGAGGCTGACACCTACCGATACTAGCCGAGTTTGATAGCTCAGAGAGCTTGTTGCCGCCGACAGAAGTGCTGCAGCCGTACCTCGCGTAAGAAGGTCATGTGATGTGTAAACACGGCGCTTGCCGCCAAGATTCAGACAGATCCACCAACGATGAGGATAGTCCAACCAGGAGTATAGTATCCACGGGAGTGGCAAGGATAGGGATACCCAGACGAAACCTTGTAACACCAAGAGATCACAAAGGGTGAAGTCGATCACAGATCACAGAAGCAAGGAAGGCCGAGACGGACATGGAGACATGGAACATGGACATGCGTTATTCCTCCGCATATCTTTCACACGATTCCTCCGCATATCTTTCACACCAACCGGCACGTATCATGCCGAGTACAGCAGTAGTCCATCGAAGATCCTTGCATCCATGCGCACCTCTACTGACCTACTGAGCATGACTTGTGTGAACTCAAGGACAATAATGCCTCTCGATAGCACCACTACGAACGAAGCAATGCGTGTATGAACCAATGAAACCAACAAGAGATCGGGAGGACATGAGAATGTGCGAACATGCAAACAGACAGCAGACAGCAGTCATTTGCAGCTGCGGGGAGAAATAGGAAATAGTAAAACGGCTAAAAAAAAAAAAACATGTACATCTATTGCGCCGACGAGTGTAAAAAACCTCGGGCAAACACGACGCATTCTGCTCGTGCACGCACTGTCGATCAAGAGCAGATGGCGCCATGTCCTTGCGCGTGGCTCGAAGGAAGCTACGGGTCCAATGGGCAGACGAGGCAGAGGGTATTCCAATCTCAGATCCCTTGAAGTCGGTGGGTCATGATCATGACGACCACGCGGCCGTGATGTCAGCTAGATGTAACTTGTCGGAGGAGGGCAAAGAAGACGACTCCGACGAAGGCGACCATGAGACGTGGTTCCCAGGGAAGAGGGTGTCGAGAACGCGGCAATACTCTTCTTGTATACTTCGGCAGGCCCTGCCAACAACATCCCCTATCAAGCTAAGGCATTGCCCGCAGACATCGAACTGCAACTATGGCGAAGCCGACGAAGAGCAAGGTTTCCGAGACGACAACAACAGCACTCATTCGTATACGTCGGAATCCACTCGCAGCGGGACGTGCAACAGTGACGAAGAGCCAGAAAGCAAGAGGGAGAACATTTGGGGCGGAGATACTGGGGCCACAATCATGGTGGAAAGAGGACAACATGGTGATGATGGCGACATCGCTCTCGTTGCTGCTCCCGTGCACGCCTCGTCGCCTCTGCTATCATTGCCGGGACCACCTGGTCCGAGGTCTCGTGAGCAAGCGGGGAAAGCATCGTCATCATCAACGGTGATGATTAGGGACCACACCTTTTCCGTGTCTCCACAGGCGCGGGATTCTGCCCCATTGAGTCTCTCTCCTCAGCCTGTTGCCGTATTCCGTTCAAGAAACAGCAACTACACCCGATCCTCCCAACACAAGCACTCGTCCACAGCGATTCATGAGCCGCGCGCCCGATGCGGTTGCCGTGGACTCACTGTGCGTATTGATTCTGGTCCTCTTGGCCTCTCCCTGGAGGCCAGCTACCGAGTGGGGGAGACGATTGTGTTGAAACAGGCGTGGAGTGACTGTGCCGCAGACAGTGGGATGTTCGCGCATTCCATGCTTGTATCAAACTTTCCGGGGAAGGTGGACGACGACCAAGTCAGGGTCTTGGATCTAGGGCTCGACGGTAGATCGTCATCATCAGGCCTCATCAAGGTTCGGGCGGTAGGCCTCGAACGTAACCACGCGACGACGACCGTTCACACTCGCCAAGGCAGCATGCTCAACGGAGCGCCTTCTCCTCCAAACGAATCACGCGGGAGCGTCGTGGGAGTCCTCGAGCTGGATGAAGGAGATATACTTGTTCGTGTGGACAATGTGCAGGTGCGCACAGCTTGCATCAGTACATTGATGTAGGAGGAGCCTCAGAGGCTATCGCGTTGCATTTCGAAGGACCTCGATTGAAATGCTTGTGAAAATCACAACCTCCATGTGCGTATGGCTGAGGGATAATTTTCAACTGGTGTTTCTTTGTCAGCCGTCTGCAGCACACCCACAATGGCCATGCAGCCTCCTGACGGACCCAGATTCTTTCATCTCAACCTTACTTTTCGTTCCCATTGAAAAGGTGACGAAGAAAAGCTTTACAGAGGTTGCCAGCCTTTTGGATCAAGCGGAACGCCCGACCCGCCTCACTTTCGTTCGACACGCGTGTGGGCGAAGGTTTGTCGGCCGTGATAACGGCTATGGCGGCGGTGGAACATGCCGCGGTGCAGCTCGACACAAGCCCCCCTGTCGGGTCGCTTACTGTGGTGGTTGGGATGGGTGCTGCGGGATGATGGGCAAGTCGGGATGTGGGGGCAAGCAGCCGCCGAACGCCTCGTGCGTTGGTCGGGTGGTTTCAAGTCCTTCGCCAAAGATTGAGGTACGCGTACGAACGCCGTTGCGGAAATAGAGAGGTTGGTAGAGGCGACCCCGCGCCACAAGTAACAAGATTGGGCCACCAGAGATCGTTCGCATGGAATTATCACAGAATACAATTGTTTGCCACCGAAATTGGGTCACGCCACTTGAAATGAAGCCAGACAAGATACCAGTTCCTTTCACATCTCGTGCAGTTTCCGAAGAAAAACGGCATTCAACGAAGTTCCGCAAAACGTTCGCCTGTCGACTACATGCAGAGGAACTCAAACACGCACCGTATATGTGCCGATTTCCGGCAATCCATGCCGGCTTCCCTTTCGGCCACCCGTTACCATACTGTAGACCGAAGCGGATGGGTGTCCAGTGGCGGTGATACTGCGTGCACGACGGCAACTCCGATCGGGCGGTATGGAGCAGTGGCACGAATTGGTAGCGTCAAGAGGGCACCTTTGGCAAAGACTGCTGAGGAATCTCTCGCCAGACTCTCACTCGGATCGGGTGAGCACACGCTTACTTTGTACGAGATTGGCGCTGCTGAGCAGCAAACGCTATTGTGTGTCTGTGTGGTGGTGATGGTTACCCCGGAATGCCACCGTGCCTCGTAGACGGGCTTCTTAGCGTACTCCCGTTGAAGTATGCCATACGCATTGTTGGTGTTGCGCCCGATACCAAGCATAGCGAAGCGAGGCTACCAATTTCGTTATGTCGCTACTGTATCTATAAGAATGTGTCTTCCACGAGCACGACGCTCAAGTCATTGACGAAAATGATCCATTGAAACTGCACACAGATGAAACCATCATTCTACATCGTCGTCTGTCCGCAGGCAAAACTTCGGAAACTGGTCGGTTGTTCACGCTCGGTGGATGAGCATGCCTTAAACGGTATGCAGCTCCGACATCGAAGTATGTGGTAGTACCGCTTGTCTTGGATGCTTGAATTGTTCTGTTGGTCAGTATATCGTCCTGCTCAAACCCCTCGCGTCCACCACAAGATAGCACGAGGAATTTCGTAAAAAGGCGCCGGCTGCGAGTGCTCACAGCTGAGCAATCGAGAACGAAAGTCGCTCACGAAGAATCACCCCCGCTACATTTATTTGTAGTCTCCCTGTTTCAAGGACCTTGGAAAGACCTACGCAGTGCGGGGGTACGACAGTAATACCGCACACACGTCGAAAGTACGGGAACAAAGTGATTTTGACATGTCTAGGTCGAGTCCCGTTATTCTCCAAAACCCTCGTCTACCTGGTGTTGTTGTCGCGGTGGCACTTTCTTTTTAACGATGCCTGGCTGTTGGCAAGCAAGGAGGGCTGTAGAAGAGTAAGCAGGCCGGACGCCTTGTCTGCCTGCCTCGGCGCATTTTTCGTATTTTCAGCGTTCCTTCCCCCTACCTCGACCTATCCCGATTTCTCAGGTAGAACTGGGCTTGTTAAGCGTAAACTCAGGAACAACTATCAGCGCTTGATCAGCAGCCGGAAGGGCGCGCGCAAAGGCAGTAATACTGATGGCTGCAACAAGGCAAAGAGAGCATTGGCTGCCAGAGTGTGGAAGGACGTCAATCGTACCATGTCGCCGAGACGCCACGGGACGCGCCCTGGATTTTTTTCGGCCTCTCAGTCGGGCGGCGGAGGACATGTATGTCCTGCGCACTTCGCGGGAGGGGCCAAACACGCCGTGTTCAGGTGCGTTCTTGGTAGGGTCACAAAACATGTCAAGCTTGAGACCACGATCCACGAATAGACTTGATTCGGCGACTACCGACGGACGGTGTGGCGATATACAGCGGGGGAACAAAAAGCGCGTTCAGGTTCCGGACGCCAGTCGCCGGGGTACCACTCTTGGGGGGACAATTCCCGGCTAAACTGTTCTCGTATCCTCCGTCCCTGTTAATCATCTGCCAATCTTTGGCACCTATCTTCAGAGTCGCTTTCGCCACGGCATCCACGCTGCAGTTCGTGTCCGGCATAAGCTACATGGCAGCGCTGGTGCTCGTTCAAGAGCCCCTGGAAGCCATGGCTTACGCGACGTTGGTCACCTTGCTTCAGGTGCCGTGTATATTCGAATCGTCTGATGTATGATAGTACCTTTTGGGCACGTCACATATGTACCTCGTCAACAAGAACATGCTCTGTTCGTTGTTGCAGCAACGAGCACCTCGCTTAGTATTTTTTTGTGTTGGTGCACATGCGCCCAAAGTGAAAGCTACATAGACAAGACAGAATTCCAACCACCCCGGTGTGTCCGACATGGAGAGCGACTCGCTCGACCAAAATGGTTTCGCCATCAAGTCTAACCGAGCCATAAACGCGAGTGATGCTAGTACACATGTACGTACACGAACGAATGGTCCTTCCATGGGACTCTCTCCGAAATATCAACGTGCCTCCATCATGGACACGGCCTCCACGCTTCTGAAACCCAACGGGGACCTTTCCCAGGAGCGAGTGATGCAGGCTCTGTTTCCGCTAGGCGACGTCGACCTCCTCGACGCGTACCACTTGTGCGGGGGTCGTGTGGTGACTTTTCGCGCGTTCGGTGCTGCTCGGAGCCCAACGCCCTCCGAACCTGCTGCTAGGGGGAAGAGCGGTGATGGCCAATATCCGTTTCGTGGCCAGGGGCACCGACGCATGGCGGAAGGAGATACCCGTTCCAAAGTGGTCAGCGCCGGTTCTCCCCGGGAGGACAAAGCCACCACTATACGCGACACCGGTGGTGCGGACAGGGCCTGTGGATGGCAAATGGGCGAACTGGAGGAAGAGGTGACAATTTCCAGCATTTGTCGGAGCAAGAGGGGGGGGGGGGTGTACTCATAGTCGTGCATGCCGTAGTCGTTAGACCATTGACCTCGCATCCCTACAAAGCCGGGACGGAGCACGCCGGGTTCTCACCGGACCAGGCTTTCACATCACCAAGCGCCGTGAGGTATTCGGCGAGTCGCATGAAGGGTGCGCTGCATCCTGCTAAGGGTGTTCGGCATCTTGTGCTTACTTTCTTGCGTACGGATGACAGCTGCGTATGACTTAGTATATTTTCTGGTGCTTTCACTTCCAGAGACAGTTATACGCACTGTGTAACTGGCTCGAGGATGCTTGACCATTCTAACACAACGTGGTGCGATTATCCCCCTTGCGCGGAGTGAGGGTTCTCGACCCCGCACAACATGATCTACCACCATGCATGGTTACCGCAAAAAAAAAACAGAGGTAAAAAAAGCAAACGGTAACCTGGTTGCCGAGTTCACGAAGCGACTTGGCATATTTTACAACGTCGTTGCCAAGCGACGAAAACCCAATCCCGATGGCAAACATCGAGGGGGAGGGGGGGGGGTAATACTGTTGTTGTTGTACTCACACACGACCCATCAAGCGAAGCCAGCTAAGAACCTCTACCTCACACAACGAGATTGACGACAGGGAAACTGTGCAAGCATTCCATGCGCAAGCTGCCGCAGAGAGGTCGAGTCTTGGAAGCCTGTAACCTAACGCGCACGATGTGTCTTGTTGGTGGTGGTCTGCCACTCGCCAGCCGACCCGGCAGGTGGTCGTGGGCGAGATGCTGCCGCGGCTCGTGCGCATCTTCGGGAAGGCTTTGAAGCGACGGTTGCCGGCACTTCATGGCCACCTGTGCAAGGAGGTACGGAAGCTTACCCGCCCTCAGCGAACCGCAAGCGCCACAAAATGTAGTCATACGAGAGTACGCGCACACGAAAACGGCGTTGCTGATGTCAGCGTACGTATGCCCAGCGCACATGTTACAAATAATAGCACCCATCATTACGTCGGTCACGACAGAAATCGGATCCTAAATGGGAAACCCCACGGTGGAGTTTCCGCTCTCGCATTCAACCGTTGCGTATGTAGTTCAGCTCGCGGATTGGGTGTAGGTACTCCGCACATTTTGCGCTTGCCACCACGGCCAAAACAACAACGTCTGACACAAGGTTTCCTCCTTTTGCCCCGGTCCCCGTGGATTGGTACCCACACCGTAGCTACTAGCGGACCAGCGGACACGTGTCGCATGTTGCTCGTCGGAGATGTGTAGCCAGGCAGCCAGTCCCCTGTTGATGATCACCACACAACACCCGTCGACGGATGGAGTGCCGGCCTCAAAAAGGAAACATCCTCACAAGAAATAGAGGCTCAGGTTCTTGAAAAAACGAACAAACAAGAAACATGGCATAAACTGGGCTCAGCGGCCGGCCACCATACGAATACATGGTGTATGGTAGTTTTGCATAGCCTATGTTCAATCATTGAGACACCATGGCCTTGAGCATTTCCTCAAAATAGGCGTTTCCAACTAGCGGGCCGGCGTTGTAAGTTGGTTAACACGCCGCACTATATACATCGACGCACAATTTTCTCTTCCGCGATATTCCAATCGAATTATCCGACCTGATTCCTCTTCCGTCCAGGCGATTCCGATGTCGTTCCTGTGCGCGGAGTGGTTCACCACGGCGTACGCGCGCAATACCCCCCTGCCCTTGGCGCTCTGCGCCCTTGACCTGTTCCTTGTGCGTTTGGACGACGTCATGATCCGTTTGGGCCTCGCTATCCTTGAGGTTTGACACAGCACAAGATAGGGGAACACCATATTTTTCTGATGGTCGTGGTAGGCGTACGTCCTAGTCTTGATCGTCCGTCAGGAAGGAGATAAGACAAACAAGTCATCCAAAAGCGTTGGAGACATGGAGATGAGTTCCGAACGGAGTGCATCTAGGATCGGTAAATGCTTCGCTTGAGGGTCCTCAAACCTGTCACTCATTTTGAGGCAAATCTCCCAAGCGAAGAGCGCCAAGGACCTGTAAGTGCCGTCGTGCAACATGGACCGACCGCAAACCCCAACCTTGTGACGCGAAAGAAAACGTAATTTTTTTATCTCGACAGGTGTTAGCACCATCCTTGAAGATGCTGAACGGGTTGGAGATCTTGCTACAGTACGGAAACCTCACGGCGAACGTTTCTTTTCAAGAGGTGCTGCGGTGTGCGCTGGCCACGCAGGTGAGCACCGAACATGTCTTGATACGCAAAATGGCATGTTCTTCGCCGTGCGAAGTCTGAAATCTGTTGTCATGTGTTCAAATGTACGCTTTAAAACGGTGGCTACAGCTGCCCAGTCGCCAATGCCCGGTAGAGTGGTGCACCAAGCTTTTGTGCAAGCGTGGGTTTGGTTTGTCTGCAAAACCAAAGGGGGGGCTCTCAATCACCTGTTCCACTATTGAGAGGCCTATAAGTTTGCCAGTCGAAGCATGGGCTTTGAAAATTGTCTTCCTAAAACAGGGAGAATGCAACAATGGATAAGCTTGAAAATGTTTTCCCTTCACTGAAGCAGCTCCAGAATTGACTTGCGAAAAACGATGGTAACCAGAAGGGCTTGCCTCCTTCTGTATGGCCCTGTTCCCGCCTCTCCCGTCTGTCTGTCCGAACGAACAGCCGCGCCAGCCTCCCTTGTTGCAGAAACCCGTCCTTGACATTCCTTTAAGCTCGTCGGAACAGCGGTCCATGTCATCATGCGCGCTCAGCTAGCACACCAAGCCGGACGACGGATTGGCTGTGCGGGGCCGTGTTGCTTGGCCAAAACAATCGCATGTTCCTCGAACGGTATTGTACAGAGCACAAGGGTCTCGATGGGGGCAACGAAGATCAGTACGACACTTCTTCTTCCAGAGCGCATGACCACTTGGAGTCCAAGCCGAGGTCGTCGCTTTCGGGGGATGTACGCGTAGCACTGCATCCCCGAGAATAGCACACGATGTTTGCGAGGATAACACCTTGCCGTGAATCGGTGGTTGTGACTTGACGTGAAGGGATGTGTGCACTGTTGTGATTGCCGTAGATTTCGGAGGAATGGTGAGTGCTATTGATCGACTGCTTGGCAGAACAAGAGAGAACTACCACGGAAGGCATGGGGCGGAACGGGGTTCCGGAGGGGGGCACCGCAGAGACGACATAACTTTGTGCTGGAGGTCGGAGCGGGTACATTGACGAGTAAAACAGAGAGTTTGGGGTGCGACGGCATTGGCGTTTGGATCTCAGAACAACGGTATTGCATGTGACAAAAGAGACATAATTCCCTCGAGGGACAGAGGGCCGGTACGTGGTTGACTTACCGGGTGGCATGTGCACGGAAACCAAGGCGATAAATTGTTGTGCGGAAGGACAGAACCGGTACATTTAATGACAAAAACAGAGAGATTGGGTTGCGACCGTATTGTCGTTTGGATCTAGCAAAAGGTGATGCATGCTACAAAGAGACAGAATGCCCTTTTATGGACAGAGATCCGCCACGTGATTGACTCTACCGGGTGGCATGTGCACGGAAACCAAGTCGAAAATTGTGCAGAAGGACAGAACCGGTACACTGAACGGCAAAAACAGAGATTTTGGGGTGCGACGGTGTTGTCGTTTGGATCTAGAAAAATGTTTTGCACATGACAAAGAGACAGAATTCCCTTGAGGAACAGAGAACCGCTACGTGGTTGACGTTACCGGGTGTACGTGGTTGACTTTACCAGGTGGCGTGAGCACGGAAACGAAGGCCATTAATTGTTGTGCAGAAGGACAGAACCCGTACATTGAACGGTAGCTACAGAGAGTTTGGGGTGCGACGGTATGGTCGTTTGGATCTAGCAAACGGTTTTGCACGTGACAAAGAGACAGAATTCCCTTGAGGAACAGAGAACCGTTACGTGGTTGACTTTACCGGGTGGCATGAGCACGGAACCAAGTCGAAAACTGTTGTGCAGAAGGACAGAACCCGTACATTGAACGGCAAAACAGAGAGTTTGGGGTGCGACGGCTTTGGCGTTTGAGTCTCCAATCAACGGTATTGCGTGTGACGAAGAGACAGAATTCCCTTGAGGAACAGAGAACCACTACGTGGTTGACTTCACCGGGTGGCATGAGCACGGAACCCAAGTCGAAAATTGTTGTGCAGAAGGACAGAACCGGTACATTGAACGGCAGAGCAGAGATATTTGGGTGCGA